TTTTTTCGTAATTTCTTTGCGGGTGCCGGTCATGGGGCACCCGGCAAAATATTTTTTGAAAAACTTTTGGTAGGGTGCCTGGACTCGGCACTTTCGACAAATTGGGAATTCGAATTCCCGACTTTGCTTTGAAAGTGCTGTGGCTGAGGGCACCCGCAAAAGCCTCAAAAATTATTTTTTTTATTTTTTTTTTGATTCTATAATCACAAACATAGCATATAAAAGATATGTATCACATCTGAAGCATCACAAAGACAATATAGCACATATATATCACATCCATCTCATTACAAACTCAATCCCACACATATATATCACATCATGAATACAATACCTCACATACACGACATCACAAACATAATAGGTCCAATTACCATCGTAACAAGTCGATAGTGGATCACGATTGCATCACATGTCCATCAAGCGGTGAAAAAGAGATACAAACTAAAGGTGGGAGGAAACCGAGTGCTAGTGAAGGAAACTCGGCACCACCGCTATACCTGAGATGGGTCATTCGAACCCACCGACGGATCTTTGCATAAAGGACAAGAGATTGAGCGCTTAGAGTGGGTCATCTAATGAAAGCACTAGTCGAAGCAATATGGATTCATACTCCTCGGACTAGCTACTGGCTGGCGGCGGCGGCTGGAGCGAACATCAAGCACAGTACACCGTTCACTTGCCCAAAGTTCTGCGCAGAACATCGTAATCTCCTTGTTGCTTGGCCTATCTCTCCCTTTCCGCCCGCTCGGCTTGTCTTTCCCGCTCGGCCACCTCGGTCCTCGCCGCTAGGTCCCATGCTCTCTGAGCCATCTCTCTCGTTATCGGCCGCAACATTTCAATCGAATGTTTTAGTAATGTAAAGGTAACTAAGTTATGTAAAGATCAATGTATGAAGAGTTAAACTTAACTAACTTTGGAGGCGTCGACCCGCTGCTTTGTGAAGGGGACGGCCGTTGGCGTATGGCCGGGCCTCCGCCGGGTACTTGCTCGGATCTAGGAGAGGAGGAACAGAGCGGACTCGAGGGTGCCATCGCCAAGCCGATTACCGCCCATGCTTCTTGCCTGTCCGATCCTCATGAGCGATCGTGCCATCAATGTCGTCGGTGCTTTCGGATCCGATCGGCCCTGGACCGACCTTGCGTCCGACGCGTAGAGGAGCTTGGCGTGTGTGGACTTCGGGTTTCAGTATGACTCGGGTGGGTCATCCCATTTGAAGGTGGCAGGTGAAGTCGCCTTTCCCTTGCGGGCGATCCATACGCCATGAACGCGTGGACAAAGGCAGCCACCATGCGACGCCGATTGCGAGAAAGACAATAAGATGATTAGAAGAAACATGCGAGAATGGAGCGTCGAATACTAAAATGAATTCACGTACCCAAGCTTGCTTGTATGCGCCAAGGTCTGCGGTGCCTTGGTGGTGTGTGGGGAACTGTCACCGCAAAGCCCCGTCTGGTGAAAAGCCGTGTTCCTAGATATAACCCTCTGTGAACCACCTATCCACGATCATCTCCCGGTGATCGGCAAAGGACTCGCACCACCATGGAATCATCTACATGTCACATGTGGAGATGTCCGGGTTTTAGGCAGCCGACGTCGCAACTTGCTCAAAACTTTCTCAATTTTTTACCAGGGCATCCACATGTGATAAAAAGACACATCGACAAGTTTCGTGATTTTCGGACATCGTTTGGATTTTATATAATTTAAATAAACTTCCCATGATGAGTACATCGTCATGTTACGACAACATGATGCGCGACATTTCATGCCACTTCTCGCATAACGGCCTCGACATAGCCTAAATATCATGAATACTATTTTTGAATGACCAAATTCCATTATTTCATGTACTGCAGTTCAAATTTGGAATAGTCGGAAATATTCAATGAAACGGAAAAAATTAAGGAAATATAGTTAAAAACTCATAATTGTCCCAAATTTTGAAACAGGATATATTTATGTAGCAAGTCCCCACAAAAATGGGGTAAAAAAAACAAAAAAAAATAATTTTCGGGTGGGTGCCACCGGGCACCCAAGCAAAGAAATTTAAAAAAATTAAAAAATTTTTTTGCGGGTGCCGTCATCACTGGCACCCAAGCAAAGGCCCGTGACTAAAAAGGCCGGCCCAAGCAAAGAAGTTTTGCGGGTGCCAGTCATGGGGCACCCGACAAAGAAATTTAAAAAAATTAAAAAATTCTTTTGCGGGTGCCTAACGGCGTGACACCCAACAAAGGATGACGGCGGCTGGCCGCCGTCAAGCCGCCGCCACCTTGCTTGGCGTGCCATATTTTGTCGAGTGGCGGCACCGGCAAAGACTAATTTTTGCCGACGGCTAGAATTTGCCGAGTGCCGGCACCCGGCAAAGGCTGCTTTGTCGGAGGCCTTTATTTGCCGGGTGCCTCCAGGCCTAGCACCCGACAAAGAATTCCTTTGCCGGGTGCCCGATAAAAAGCACCCGGCAATTTTTTTTGCTCCCGGCAAATCAGCCGTTTCCTGTTGTGATGGGTGTATCGAAAGGATCTAAGAGAATATTTCGTGGTTCTCTAAAACTCAGGTTTGCTTCCTCCACGTCTACACTTGATTCACATGTTTTTTTCCCCCTAAGACTTTTGACAAAGTTAGGAGGTCTAAGGTTAGAGCTTTGTGTTGAGGTTCCACTGGAATATGGACTTAGAGGAAGGCCAGCGTGGCCTGGTGGGGGAGGTGATGGCTGCGGGACAAGGTAGCAATGTAGCGTGGCGGCTGCGGCTTGGTGACTTTGGAAGACCGGAAGGCAGAGAAGCTACCTTTGGCGGTGTGACACTGATTGGGCTAGGGTTTGATTAGTTGCCTGCATTAGTCTATATTTAGACTTATACAGTGCAGTTTGCTTAATGTAGTTGCAAATTATTATGCATGCTTATATAATACGCAGGCGAATGCAGTATTAGCTAGTACACCGTATAATTCCATGTTATACAATACATATTTTGCACAAGTTGAGAGACACATAAAATTAAATATTTTCATATTCTCTATCTTTGCTAGAAACATAAGAACTCTAATAGAATATATAAGGTGACTACACGTAATAAAATAGAAACAAATAAATACAAGTTTATCGGACGTGACTTGTTTATGCAGGACAACCAACAGCCTGTTCGTTTCGGCTGAAACGATCGTGGATTATAAGCCAGAAGTATTGCTGGCTGGTTTGGTGTGAGAGAAAAATATTGTTCCAGCTTATAATCCATGACCGTATAAGCCGAAAACAAGCAAACACTATACATTTATGTTGATTTAGACTGTGCTACATAAGGTCTAATGCAAATTAAGCCTAACACAAGGAACTAATTAAACCTAGTGACTTAAGGTGGTGACGGGTGGCAAACTGGTGAATACCAAAGACGAGTTGGCGGTAGGGTGGTAGGGCAAAGATTTTACATGCGGATAAATGATGTCAAAATGTAGACAAAGCTCGCTAGTCAACGGATGTATTGTAGACGGCTGAAAAACACAATGTTGAATTGAATCGCTTGGAACACTAGAGCATCCCTGCAGCCACTTCCATTTGTAAAGTGTATAGATTATTATCATTATTTGTTAACTAGGAATTGTAGTAATATTATCAAATACCCCTACCGTGTAGTGATTCAACTAATCCATGTTCTTGACGATTGCTTACTTCCAATATGGCGGAACTCAACGACACCAACAACCACCATCAGAGCATTACTCTCCAAATGTCCACAACGACAGTCTCCAAGCCTTGGAAATGCCACATGATTCAATGCATCAGGAATTTCTCGTATGCATCTACCATATTGAAAGAGCATCGGCCGCTTAAGTCACCAAAGATCATCAAGGTACCTGATACCATCGGTACCCAGCCATGCTAAAATTGAAGTCTAGATAACTTCTCGGCCTTCGCAAGATCGAAATCCAGCAAGCTATGATACTGATGCAAACAGGGAAACACAACCACTCTTACCAATCACATCAACTCTACAAAAATCAAAACCACATGAAGAACACTGGGCTAGATGCATAGATAGGTATTTCAAGAATTCTATGCAAGACACAAGATCCGGCAATGAATCGACAAAGACGATACCATCCAACAGCTCATAAGACACAATTTATTCAATCTAAAACCTAACTATTGTGCTCCTTACTGCCACTGAGGTCACCACATGGCTAGAGGAGGGCCCTATTGATGGTGGTGTGGGAGGTCCTAGGGAGGTAGTGGCAAGCTAGAGTTGTATGGAACATACAATCCTACATGAATTTAAAATGCATGAAAGTTTCTATTTGTGACTTTTGGATGCAACATAGAAAAATGAAGGAATTGTAAGAAAGATATACATAATGAAAAGTTTCGATCAGATCCAACCTCAAACTAGTTTTTCTTCAAAATTTCTATAGTTTTATACGTCCTATAGGAATCAAAAGAAATTTTGTAGGATCTAAAGAGGATATAAGAAATTTGTCCTAACCTCATTTTGTTCTAAAGGGATATAAGAAATTTCCTATGTAATTAAAATTCTCCAAAATTCCAATGCTTTCCTTTTTGTTCTAAAGGGTCTTGCCTTCTTGTAGTTTGCACTTACTCCATCCGTCTCATTGAAAGTGTTATTTTTGACTTTTAGATCTCTTGTTTGACCGTTCGTCTTATTCAAATTTTTATGCAAATAATAAAAATAAATAAATCATTATTAAAGTATCTCTCATGATAAAATAAGTCATAACAAAATAAATAATATTTACAAAAAAAATTGAATAAGATGAACGATCAAATAAGAAGTCTAAAAGTTAAAAATGATATTTTTAATGGGAGTGAGGGAGTATACATTTAAATGATTTGAGGGGGTGCTGGTAAACTTCTTCTTTTTTTGAAGTTTATAGTTCCAGGTGAACGTTACTGGTGTGCCGAACTGCTGAAGGAAGCACTTGAGGCGAAATATATTTTAAATTCTATAATACATTTCCGCCTTCTAGGCTAGTTTGCGTAAACTACGATGCGCCTCCCGCTTCTTCCACGGTCTCCTCCCCTCGCCGCCGCTGTCGCCGCCATGCCTCCTCGCCGCCGTCGCGTTGTCAGAGCGCCGTCCCTCACGCCGTCTCCTCCACAACTCTCTTCTACCCCGCCGCCGGTCCCGTCCATAGAGGCCCCCAAACCTGAAACCCCCGACCACCACGATCCCACTCCCTCCGCCCGTCGCCGCCTCCCCCTCGCTGCCGGGGCCGTCGAGGCGCAGGAAGAGTGGCATCCACTCCCGCTCTCCACGGCCGACCTTTCCCTCCCGCTCACCCTCCCCACCGGCCAGACCTTCCTCTGGCGCCGCACTTCCCTCTCTCCGCTCCGCTTCACCGGTGCCGTGGGGCCCCACCTCGTCTCCCTGTCCCACCTGCCCGACTCCGACGATGGCCGCCTCGCATTCCTCCTCCACAACGGCGGCGGTTACTCCACCTCCTCGGTGCCCGCTGCCCGCGCCGCGCTCAGCGACTATCTCAACGCGGCCGTCTCGCTCGCCGACCTCTGGCGGCAGTTCGCCGCCGCAGACGAGCGCTTCGCTGAGGTCTCCGCGCGTCTCGGCGGCGGCGGCGCGCGGGTGCTTAGGCAGGACCCCGTCGAGTGCGTCTTCCAGTTCCTCTGCTCCTCGAACAACAACATTGCCCGGATCGAGAAGATGGTGTGGACGCTGGCAGGCTACGGGGAGCGGCTCGGCGAGGTTGGTGGGTTCGTGTTCCACCGGTTCCCCACGATTGAGCGGCTCGCGCGCGTGTCGGAGCAGGAACTTCGTGAGGCCGGGTTTGGGTACAGGTCAGCTCTTGGTGCCTTCCTACTTTGCATTCCATTTGGAGTATCATTCAGCACAACTCGTCAAATTTTGTTTGGCTTTGCCAGTTTTACTTCATGATTAAATTCCTAGATCGTAGGCTGGAGCTCAAAGATTTTCTTTCTATTGTTGTTATCTTGTTCTGGTAGCTGCTGTTTCATTTGCAGCAATAGCATCATTGGCAGGTCGTCCTAGGTTATTAAGCTACTGTTTCTACTATTTCAACTGAAGCTTTGGTTGAGAAATGAAACTAATGTGTACGTTGGGCTAGTTGTTGATCTAATCAGGCAACGAACATTTGTGCTATGGTGGAGATGATAATGCTGCTGATGTTTTTACTATAGATGTAAATATGTATAAAACTCAACTTCGTGTTTGCAGCATACTGGCATTTTGTCCTTTGGGAACCATCTTATCCAGGGGCGGAGCTAGAGAAATATGGAGGGTGGTGCGGCCGTGCGGGCTTCCTTGGTAGCAATTACTTAGATATATACGATGTTCATACTATACTGTATCTTAATAGCGCTACAGACAAGATTTTAGCTCAATAATTGACACAAGCAATATTGATATATACCAACACTGAAATAGCAGTAATAGTGCTTACCATTTAACAAAATATAGTTAGAGAATGCCACAATTATTAAAAAGAAAGCTTGTTGGCATATTGAAGTAAAGAAAAAAGAACGAACCATTCAATTTTAAGCAAAGAGTTAATAGAATGATTCGTTGAAAAAATAAAATCACATCTGAAATGTAGAGGGAAAATTGGTGGCTAGGATCTCTCAAATCTCTAGAGCTAGACTGCCTTCCTAGAATTTTTGGACCAATATATATCCATCTTCCGTTTCTAACCATGCAATACCTTTGCACTAAGACTGTATGATGCTTTCCTTTGGAAAACCTTTGCATACTTTTCCTAACATTCACAAAAATATCTATATTTTAGTTGATTTAGTTGCTTTCATAAATATCAATTACCAAATATGAGAGAAAGAATAAAAAAGCATGACCCTAGAATCTGGACAAACTACCAACAAGAAGCTAGGAACTACAAAATTGCCGATTGCTGGAAGTTGAAAAAAAATAAAGAATCAAGTTGCTTACTTTGCCTTGCGGTCAAGATTGAATAGAAAATAGAGCAGGCGGTGGGCGCACTGCATTCCTGGACTCCTGGTGCCCGTGCTCGGAGGCCCGGAGTGCTGGCCTGGCGAGTAGCCGCCTGGCCAGCTGCGCAGCAGTGCCGCTGCCGTCATCCAGCCGATCATCTGCCACCGGACTTCGCGCCACTAAGCGTCAAGGGGAGAGAATAGACGCGGGACTGCGGGAGGGGAGGCGACGCGTGACGGCGTGAGTCGAAGCGCCGCCCGATGGTTCCGTGCGGCCGTGCGGAGGTGTGGTGGCTGATATTTGGCTGCCTGTAGGGCCATTGTTGGGCAGCTGTGGGCTCCATCTCTCTGGCTGAGCTGGGCTGTGGGTGCAGATGATTGTGCGAGAGGGGTGCGAATACGGTAGGAACCTGTATCGTACAGCATATTTTGCGTATTGGTCTGGGTGCGGCCGCACCCAGTCGAACCTATATGGATCCGCCCGTGATCTTATGAGGCAGAAAAGTCTTGTTCTATGGATTGTAACTGCATAGATCATAAATTAGTAATTGCTCATGAGTATCCGTTGTGTTTGTGTATACATTATTGCTAGATAGCTTCATAGTATTACTGATTTGGGCAATTCTGTGTGTTTTTTTATGACAAACAAGCAGGGCAAAGTACATTGTTGGCACTGCTAAAGAATTGCAGGCCAAACCTGGTGGAGGTGAAAAATGGCTTGCCTCACTGCGTAAGAAGGAGCTTTCAGATGTGATTGAAGCTCTTTGCACTCTGCCAGGTGTTGGTCCAAAGGTCGCTGCCTGCATTGCTCTGTTCTCCCTTGATCAAAATCATGCTATTCCTGTTGACACGCATGTGTGGAAGGTAAATATTATTTGAAATGCTAGTAAACCAATCACCATGTGTAGATACATATTCCTTCTGCATTCATAATGACTGTACCTGTTAAACACTGAAATGGTCAGTTGGGGTGTTTTTTTCAATTCTTATTATTTTTTAATCAAACTTGAGGATGCAGCCTGAAGAAGGTTTGCTGTCTATACTTAATATGACCGAAAGTCTATTTTATGTGAGTGTTAAACTCTATATGGATTTTAATGCAGGTTGCTACACAATATCTATTACCAGAGCTAGCTGGCAAGAGCTTGACTCCAAAACTTAGTGTTATTGTTGCTGATGCCTTTGTTACTAGATTTGGAAGCTACGCTGGTTGGGCACAAAATGTTCTCTTCATTGGCCAGCTACCTGCTCAAAAACTTGTGGTGGCTCAAGTTACCAGTGACAATGGTACCACAAAACCGACCAAAAGGAAGCGCGGGGTGCAACCGAAACCATGTTGAGAACGTGTGACCATGAGGGAGCAGGGATACCAGCGATAGTGGGTTTGCCATTCTTCTGTGCTATTCTCGTTCAGTAAGATGATGTGACATGACCATGACAAACGATCTTCTGCTGAACAGGGAGGTCTTCGGTGTCTGCTGAGTTGGCATATGGTTTTCTTGCAGTCCTGAAGAAGTGAAGTGCAAAGAAATTAAAATCTGGACAGGCAATACGACAGTCAGAACTTGATGGCAACTTTCTGTCCCCTGGCAGTAGGAATCCGTGAGAAGGTATCTAGAATCCTGATCACACTAACATATTTGCTGTCAGTTTCTAACATATAGGAATGCCTGACTCATTTATATTCTGAATTTTATTTTCATATATGTGGGCATTGTGTTGCATTGTTAGCCTGCCCGTGCATCTTCCACAAAAACATCAAGATGGAAGGGGTACGTGTAATGTAACCGTGTCGTGTTGTTATTTAAACAGCGATGAAAAATTCAATTGAAATATTGGGTCAATAGTTCTCTGTAATTTTTGCACCCACCCACCTATACCATCCCGTGGTAATACTGGCTTGGATCGGGCCAGCCTGCCAGGCCGGCATCTTCTGATGAACGTTTGAGCAAAGTTGTGTTGTGATTGTCCCTGGGTTCCTGGTGACTGATTCACGGTCGGTCACACAAATTTGTGATTTACACAAAAGGGACAACGGGTGATTTTACGCAAATATTATTGCCTTGGGATTTGATCTAGCCTGTGGGAAGTGCACGGGCTAGTACTCTGTTTCTCCTTCGAAACCGGTTGCACACCAATTCGGCAATTCCGATTCCGATTGCTTGCATTGCCAGCAAAGTCAAAACGGGAGCTGCACATTCCAAAAAAAAAAAAAAAAACGGGCGCTGCAACTGCAACCAGGCTTTTGCTTGCGCCAAGGAGTTCTGCGGGCCCCGCATGCCATAGACCCAATAGCCTCGCGAGCGGATCCCCTCCTTGCAAGGCCGGAACTGAGCTGCCGCCGGCGCCATGGCGAGCGGCGGCCTGGCGGCTGCGTCGGAGTTCGCCGTCGTCTTTCTCGTCCGCCCTGTCCTCGCCATCGCCTTCGTCTTCACCCTCATCCTCCTCAGTATGCCTCCCCTCCTTTTCCCCTCGGTTACCTAGTTGCGTGTGTTCCCTGATCCGCTTCGTCTCCCCAGGCTGGTACGTGGCGTGGAGAACGGTGCTGGTGCACGTGCCGCTGGTGCAGGAGATCGCCGGTCTGCGCCCGAAGAAGCCCGTTAAATCCAAGCCAGCCAACCGCGGCCGCTTCGCCAAGTTCTACCAGAACCAGGCGGAGGCCGCGCAAAGGTCAAAGCTTTACCTCCGCACGACCACACAAGCCTCCTGCTTTTGCTCATCAGGATGTTTAGGTGCTGATTCATGTGGAAACTAACTGGCCAACTTTTGTTCAATTGGATCCAGATTGAGTGCTCCAGTGCTGTTGAGTCCTGGACTCATGGCATTGGTGAAGCAGTTTTGTGCAGTAGATTGTAGATTAGGATTGTATCCACATACCGCATGTCCACCCACTATCTGATCTGGTTGGGCATATGGTGATGCTGCAGCTCTTCTTGTGGTTGCAATTGTAGTTAAATTGAAGCGGGGAAAGTTGCTTTAGCTGTCTATTTCAGTATTTCAAACCTGATTCAATTTCATTTGCAGTTTGGTACAATGCCTGAAGGACCTGAAGGCATAATTACCTGCATTTTTGTGTTCTTCGTGTTTACCCTCTGGATGCCCATCTCAAATTCCTAAATTTCTTGTCATGCCTACTATTGGTGCTAAAGTAAAACTGTTTGTTGCATTCAAAGAAAAGCCTAGACATTTCAAACTTCAGTCCATAAGCCTCTCCGCAGATTTGCGGGGGGAAGGCTTGCCTCGGTTTTTCCCTTCCCCAGACCCCACTCATGTGGGAGCCTCCGGCACTGGGTCTGCCCCTTTTAGTCCATACAAATCAATATATTGGCACTTGAGAGCTACTCCATTTTTTGACTGGAGCTATAACTATGTCCATGTTTGTTCCTTACGAAAACACAAGTTTTTTTTACACCTTGTATTGTGAATACCTGCAGTCCTATTCTCTCAGAAACTGTATTTTTCTATTGAATTACTTAGGCATAGTTGGGAACACTGGATACTTGGATAGGGATGGAAGAAAAGTAAAGCCATTAGCAGGATCAATGTGGTTTATCTAGTAAAAAATGAGTTGTGATTGAAATAGCTTATGTAGCCTTTCTCATTTATACCACTAGTAATTGCACTTTGTATATTGTACATCATGAGCATGTATTCTGGAAACATGGCTATCTGTAAACTCTTATAATTTGATTTATCTTGCTGTCTCCTTACACCTTGAAGTTTTCATATTTTATCTTGACCTGCAATGCCAATATTAGCATTACTGCAAGAAAGTAGGTGCCACCCTTTGGTTCATCATACAATTTCACTTTGCTCCTTAATGTCATTCCTTCCTTTCAGTGACCGGCAAGTACATAGAACTTAAGGACAAAAGAACATTGTTAGATGGTACCGAATCCATTGCTTGTAGGTTACGATAGCTGTTTTAGAAGCCTGCTGCAGCAGTGGTTGGGAGCGTCTCCAACTTGGCCAGGAATGGTTTGATGCTTTCTAGAAGACTAGAACCTTTTGATTACTCAGTGCTGTGCTTGTTGTTTATTCCAACCTATAACTGTACAATATACTGTGCTTACTAGCAAATTGTATCATGAGTTCTGTCAAGATAGCTAACAGTAACAGATGTATTTTGGGTGCTCAAAAACCTTTGCTATTTAGACTTTTAGAGTGTTGCTTCCGTTTTCACATATTACCCCAATGCCTTATGTTTCAACCATAGTGTGCTTACTGCAGAAGTTGCTCTATGTTTGCAAATACAAATTGTTTTAGCTTCAGGCACATAGATTATGAAGAAGCAGAAAATGACCTTACTCCTTGTACACATGTCACATGTCCACAAATCACTAACCTGATTTGTGTTATCTGTTAACAGGAACATCAAATCAGAAGGAACATCTTAAGTGAAATCCATCAGCACTTTGTAACAAGTACCTGCTGCAGACTATAGTATGCTAATTCCCTAGTTCTAATTAGAATGCAAGTACTACTAATGATGGCGTTTTTTTAGGAGAATGTATATCAGCATTTGATGGGTGCATCCTGCTTGACGATACATCAGGCTTATGATACTAGTGTATCAACTGTATATTGCATGGCCTTGTAAAGTTAAGGACGTTATAATTGTAGATTGTACATAAATACCTGTATACAAGAATAAAGAGAACCACTTATCCTTTGGAATAATATCAATGTACCTTCTCGTGCAAAGTTTTTCTTTGTTAAGTTCAGCCCTAATCATTGGCTCAATGATGGCATTTCTAAAGATGAAAACTGCTTTATATGATGCCAAGCTGCTGGGATTGTGCACTCATTCTTTTCCGCTTTGCTGAACAATAATCAGCCAATCATTTGGTGACTGATTCCCTCTGGGAAGGATGAAGATCTGGACTCACCTGGCAAGATGGAAGCCATACATTTCTTGAGAACCAAGACCAAACCACCTGCTCAAAAGCCGTTTCCTTTGCAACAAAGCTCGTTTGCCCCTAATTGCAATTGATACTTAATTGAAAACGACTGAACTTGTTCATCCTTAAACAGTACGAGCAGTCGTGATTACGCAACAGAATAGTTGACACAAACAAAGGCACATCTGATCTCCTTTTCCTTGTGCTCTCTCCTTTTAATCCTGACCTGAAAAGAGCGATGCAAAATCATCTATCCAGCTTAAGAAATGGAAGAGTGGAATTGTGGCTGATTCCACCTCAGGGGGAACTGTGGAAGGAGCTGGCACCGGCAGTGCTCCCCTCCAGCGGCACAAAGTGAGGCAGCCACTCTTACATCAGGATCTCCCCCTGATCACCTCCAATCTTACCGAAAAGTGCGATGACGACGGTGACCGCCTTACGGTCCGGTCGCCGTTGTTGAAAACCAGCTCGACGCCGTTTTCAGTGGCGCTGAGGAAATGCTGGGTGTGGGTGTGGATGCCATGATTAGGGGCTTTGTAGCATCATTGGACCTTCCCAAGCTTTCAGATTCCAAGCTAATCATCATCATTCATCAATGGTGACGGTGGTGGATTCGGCTGCTCTAGATTTCGGTAAGATTTCCTGGGCTGTCTCATGTCCAAAGCAAAAGCGAAGGAAAGCTAAGGTAGTTGAGCTGTGAGTGACCTATATCATGCAAAAAGGGCACAGTTCAAGGTGCAGAGCCAATCTTTTGTTAGAATGTTCCATGTAGGCTATAAAGAAAAGATCACTTGTGAGAATGCACATGACACAGCCCTAGCTTGTTTGCTAACAAATGCTCATGAATTCATAAATGTTCCTAAAAAGGGCATCCTTGACCTATCTATGCTAGCAATTGCACACGCAAGACTGTAACCGTCATGCAAGTCTTCAACTTCAGGAACAAAATGCTAGTCAAACTGTGCAAATACTCAGCACACAGAAATTCCATACTTTTGGGTGTGGGCCATTGGCCGGTCAATGGCCTTCGTATGTGTGTAGCGCACACAAATTCAAGCGGTACTTGTCAAAAAAAAAAAATCAAGTTGTATAAACATGGCACTGAAATTTGTGTGACTTTTAGATGTGTGATACACATTGCTTTTGTTGATACTTTTGCCTGTCAAATTTTAGGTGGACAAATTGCTTTTACTTGGAATGTTCTGCAAACCTAATTTTCATGTCATTCCCTTTCATAATTTCTCTTGCATATTGTTTTTCGACTTTAATGATAATGAAAGGGTAAATGAGGATGTAGTTTTTGGTAGACATCTTGTGCCCATTCGCATCTTCTTCTCTGCCTACTCATTGAGATAGGAAGAGTAACATCATACTATTAATAATCAAAGACCCTAACAGAGACACCATGTTAATTTCCATCAGACACGCTAGGAAAATAGATAAATCCTAGAACCACCATCGCCGATAAGAGTCATCGGATCTATTGTACATAATTTATAAAAAATTACCCACTTCTGCCATGATAAAAGTACATAAACTAACCCCCTAATTTTGCATCTATCTATCTATACTATTACTAATTAGAGACCCCAACGGAGAGCATCTCCAAGAGTTCCCA